CCCCCCCTAAAGGCGTTCTGAGTGGCTTTCAGTCAAAAGTTGAGAATTGGCACCAGAAATTTACGGAGGGAAACATTGCTATGTTTATCAACCTTTCACAGCTGTTAATTCCAAAGGAGACCTTGTCTGCTGATTTTCAAATTGGTATTGCTGTACATTTGCAATCACTTGGAGATGAATTCAAGAACTATTTCCTGACCTTGACTGTAGTGAAGAAGTTTTTGTGATAAACCCTTTCACTCCTGGACTAGACATCACAGTCACAGTCATTGAGGTGACATTCACGACGAGCTGTTTGAATTGAGACATGATTCGTCAGCTCGCGACACGTTTCTTGAGAAATCTCTTGCACAGTTTGGTGTTCACTCCTGGAATCATACCCTCAGTTCAGCAAAACAACACTTCGAGTCATTGTCCCATTTGCCTCGACTTACCTTTGCAAAAAGTGGATTTTCTACCCTTGTCAACTCAAGACAAAAGCAAGGAACAAGCTGGATGATGATGATGATGATGTTGATGTGGCATCGTGCTCACAGTTACTGGTCTTTGTGAGATACGTGTTTGAAAAAGATGAGAAAGAAGAATTTTTATTTTGCACCCCACTGGACACCACAGCAACAGGGTATCCTCATTTTTTGAAAAACGAGGGTCTTGAGTCGAAGAATGTGTGTGGCATTTGTACGGATGGTGCCCCAGCCATGATAAGATCTAAGTCGGCTTTCAGACAAAAGTGCAAGACAAAGCACCACACGCAAAAGCATTTACTGCATGATACAGAGATATGCACTAGCTTGCAAAACTCCCAATCCCACTTTGAAGGAAACGTTGGAATCTACTGTTTAAGTTGTCAACTATGTGGAACGCAGCCCCCTAAATACACGACTCTTCAAGGAACTCTGTTCTGACATAAGTGCGATCATGACACACTGCTTTTCTACACTCAAGTTGAACGGTTATCGAAAGGAAACGTTGTATGTCGAGCTGAGAGAGGAGATCAAGTTCTTCCTGGAAGTGCAGGAAAAAGATGAGCTCAGCAGGAACTACTCAAATGATTTGTGGATCCAAAGACTTGCCTATATATGTCTGATATGTTTGACTACCTCAACAAATTCAGTTTTAAACTTCAAGGTCAACAGATACACTTTGTGCAGTTTAAGGGGGGGGGGACTACACCTGGAGGCTATCTCGCTTATTACTGGACCGAATTTTACCAAATTTCACACATATAACAAGCATAGTAAGGAGTCTTAAGATCCACAATCAAATTAGAGAAAAAGTTTCATTTCCATGGATACGCCGCCATATTGGATTTTATTGACATGTCTTACGTAATGAATACCGCACTTATCGCTCATGGAAATTGATTGGGTTTTTTTGCATGAGTGTTCACAAACATTAGATCTAAAAATTTGTCTGTTGTTTTTTTCTTAATCGAATTAGAAAATTTTTAATGAATTTTTTCCTGAGGTAGCATTCAAGTTTGCGAAAAATCTGTGAAAATCCACACTCCAGACACCACCAACAAAAATCTATTCCATATATCAAAAATTCAACTGACGAAGTTTTAGTATTACCTCATCTTTTCATTCTGTGAAAATTTCATGAAGATTGGATGAAAAATGGCGGAGTTATTCAAAAAAGTATAGAGAAAAGTCGCATTTTGAGAAAACGGCCGATAAAGAAAAATAAAATACTGACTTTATGAGGAAATGGCGGTTACAAACATGCCCGGTGTGAGAATAAATACGGTTTTGGGTTTTTTAATGCCATGAAATAGTTGTAGGAGAGGCTGAGGAAGCTTAAAATGCCTACAACACAAATTCCATGATTTTGAGCCGAATTTTGATTTTTGGGGTGTAGCCCCCCCCCCCCCCCCCCCCTAAAGGCGTTCTGAGTGGCTTTCGTTCAAAAGTTGAGAATTGGCACCAGAAATTTACGGAGGGAAACATTGCTATGTTTATCAACCTTTCACAGCTGTTAATTCCAAAGGAGACCTTGTCTGCTGATTTTCAAATTGGTATTGCTGTACATTTGCAATCACTTGGAGATGAATTCAAGAACTATTTCCTGACCTTGACTGTAGTGAAGAAGTTTTTGTGATAAACCCTTTCACTCCTGGACTAGACATCACAGTCACAGTCATTGAGGTGACATTCACGACGAGCTGTTTGAATTGAGACATGATTCGTCAGCTCGCGACACGTTTCTTGAGAAATCTCTTGCACAGTTTGGTGTTCACTCCTGGAATCATACCCTCAGTTCAGCAAAACAACACTTCGAGTCATTGTCCCATTTGCCTCGACTTACCTTTGCAAAAAGTGGATTTTCTACCCTTGTCAACTCAAGACAAAAGCAAGGAACAAGCTGGATGTTGCTGATGATATGCGTCTTGCATTATCCAAGACCTCCCCGAGCATTTCAAGACTGGTTCTTGAACTACAGGCACAGCTCTCTCACTAGTTTATTTTTCTTTAAATCCGTGTGTGTGTGTGTGTGTGCGTATGTGTGTATGTGTGTGTGTGTGTGTGTGTGTGTGTGTGTGTGTGTGTGTGTGTGTGTGTGTGTGTGCGTATGAATGTGTGTGTGTATGTGTGTATGTTTGTGTGTGTATGTGTGTTTGTATGTGTGTATGTTTGTCTCTGGGTGTGTATGCGTGTGTGTGTCTCTCCTTTTTCTCGATTTGCATTTGCTTGAAATAAGAGTGATTTGAAACTTTAAAAGTACAGTTAATTGTCTGTATTAGCTATGTAACGTAGGCCTTATTAATTGTCTGCTGCTGGAATGTACGCATTTGGGGGGGGGGGGGGGATTAAGAGGGTTTGTTTATTACTTTATTTCGGTGTTTGGGTATGAGGGATCGTTCCACTTGTCAAACAATCAAAAGGGGTCGCGGATTGAAAAAGGTTGAGAACCACTGGTCTAGAGGATTTGCCATTTTTCACCTTTCTAAATTTAGTCTCACTTCGTTTTTACAGACGGTCATTTCACACATCATTTTATTGCTGGTCGCCACTGTACAGCACCCTCTTTTGAGCTAAGGTCATGGTGTGTTGCTGTAGGACACATCCCAATACCACCCACCTAAACTCCGTGTCACCGACCACTCCTGACTTTTAAGAACCACTAGGTACAGCCCAAGTTAAGCTTACTGTTTTTGCTCCAAAATAAGATTTAGAATATTTTGATTCCAGGGGGTATCAAATTTTAATACAACGGGTCAATTATTTTGAAGTACATGTATTTTATAACGATACATAACCGTCGAAACTTGCAGTTCTATAAATTCACAATAATGGAAATCTGGCTCTGTATTTTTTTAAAGAACGTTAGACGTTACTTTCGTTTACATCTTGAGGGGTACAGAGTCTGTGATTTATTTTAACAAAATAACAGAAAGGTTGGCCCCAACATAATTCTGTAATATAATACTTTGTGGAAACAGACGCCCGTCAATTTTTGGGTGCATTATGGATTTATTTGTATTACCTTGAAGTTTGTTCATTTACTGCCTTTTTTTTAATGAAGAAAATATCCAGCTTTTTTTTTTTTTTTTTTTTTTTTTGGTAATTTCTTTTACGGCGCTCGCAACTGCATAAGATCATGTGAGCGCGCGGGACACACCTAATACTTTTAATTGGTAGGAAATATTGAATTTTGCCCGGGTGGCGGCCGAAGCCTACTCTTATCGATTTTAGACCACCAAGGGATGTTTAACGTGCGCGACTTGCAAACCGGCCCTCCGAGATTTTTCGCCCTTGTCCGAGAAGACTAGGTGTAGATCTTTCCTACCAGAAAATCAGGGGTGTGGCAGAAAGATAGCTGTAAGAAGGAGTCAAGGAGTAGCAGTAGAAAGGCTGCAGAAAGAGTCAGGAGCCCAGAGGAGGGGGCAAAGGAGGTGAGGGGTGGGGGCAAAGGAGGTGAGGGGGTGGGGGCAGAAAGAGGAGATGAAAGCAGACGACCGAATATTACTAGAGAGCAGGAAAGGAGGTGAAAGGAG